AAGGGGAACCTTTACCTTTAATCTGCTCACACAAAAAGCCAAGGTACTGCACAGGCTGTGGTTCATAGCTGGTCTTCCTTACCAATCCAAACTATTGTAACACAAACTTTATTCCTATACTAGAGTACAGGTTTCCAAGATACAAAGGGATATATATACATACAGTGGCATTTCTCATTTCCTTTGCATTAAATAAAGTCCTAAGGTCCAGATCACCAATGGTGAGAGCAATGGATACCGTGTATATAAACTGTCACCATATCAGCAGTAAGTTGCTGTTTTGTTTTGGGAAGCACGGTGGGAAGCCAGAACTGGGAAGGCCTTAATATAAAGCCAGTTTTTCCTCTGTTGCTCTGTCACACTGTGTTGGACTAAATTGTTCAATCGGTGTCTAGCTGTTTTATCATTGTGATAAGGAACACCAAGGGACTCAGTGGTGACAAATGTTGTTTGTGTGCCTGCCCCTTTTATGTTACTGAATATATCTCCCTTGTGCTCAAAGAGCTATTTTAAGGCTTGCTTTAAAGTATTCAAGATTTCTGACTTCTTCAATGGTCATTGTATTTCATAAATAAACGATCCAGCATTTTCTTGTGGTTTCCTGACATTCTCCTGCTGGGCCTGTACCTTGGACATCAGCAGGTTGCTTTCTTCTCTGCTGCCTTTCTTGGAAGATGAGAAGTTAAATTGTCCTCTCTCCAGATACAGACACCTCAAACTTAGGGTTCCATGTGTCGGGTGGGGGGGGGGCTTTAAATGTCACCCCAGAGGTATGAGAACTACTTTTCTGCAAGCAGCTTTCATGTAGCTGGGCCCCCTTCCTCCCTTCCGCTGGGGAGGGCGGAGCACACCTCATGCAGGGACAGCACTGTGGCTGTCCGCCCAGCCAGCGTGCTCACCCCTGACCAGGCGACAGCTGCCAGAACACCCCTCATGTGTGGGCAGTCTCTTGCCCATCCCCTGTCCCCTTGGCATGGTGGCCCAGACCCAGCACAAGGCATCCTTTCAGCTCCCCCTTGGGGGCAACCATGGCTGCTGGGAGGGGAGTCGCACCTGCAGGGTCCCCTCGGGTCCCAGCATCCGTAGGTGGGCCCGCTGTTCCTTTGGCCACATCCACTGACCCCCACGGGTGCCTTGAGATATGCGTGCCTCACTGCGGCGGAAAACCCTGGCTGGATGTTCCATACTCCCTCCACCCTGAACCATTTGTGCCCATGCAGACCCCGGCTTCTTAGACGGTGCTCCCCTGGGGAGGGCACAGACCTCCCCATCCTTTGTGCTCCAATAAAGATGTTTCAAAGGTGGTCTCTGCTGTCGTCGTGTGTCTTTGGCAGAACGTGCCTGTGGACCGTTAATGGGTCGATCCCTGCGCCCATCCATCCTTCCTACAGACCCCATATCTCGGACTTGCATGGGGGGGGCAGTCTTCAGGCATGGATGGGTGGTCAGGTTCCTTGCTGATGGACATTGCGGGGGCTGGCGTGGGACCTTCCTCCCCGCAGTGCGCCACATCTCTACGGATTCCCATGGGGGATTGGGTGGCTTCAACATGAGCCGTTCATGGCCAGTCAGCTGTGGATGCGGCCACCTGGGGTCACTCTGATGCAGCCGGTGCCGCCTTTTCCTTGGATGGGATGGCTGGGGGCATTCCAGTGGGGCAGGGGGAACCTCCATATGAGCTGGCTGACCTCTGCATGGGGGGCCGGGGGCTCCTCCAAGGATGCATCGGACCCCTCGTGGGAATTGCCCAGAATCAGCTGCTGCTCTCCCCCTTCCATTGCCGTGTGTGGCCCCGGCCCATGGCAACATGGCACGGGGGAGATTCATGGGCAGTCTCCATGCCATTGTAGTGCCCTCACCTGGGACTGGGCACCCAATCTGCTCTTCGGTTTCACCATGTGCTGCCCGTGGCAATCAGATAGCCACAGGTGGGGTGAGTGGCTGCCGGGAATTATGGGTGACACGAGCAGGGGGTGACCTCCCACTGTCCGGGGGGTATGCTGTGGGACTCAAATGCCCCAGCTCTGGGCATTGGTAACTGGACATGTGTGTGGACACAGTGGGAGGGTGCTGATCCCCATGTCCCATGACCTGCCTTGGTCATCACGGGGCGCCAGACGCTTCTCCAGCATGTTGGCCAGGATGGATGGCTGCTCCCCTTCCGACCCCTCCCCTGGTGCAATCGCAATGGGCCGTTGCCCGTGCTGTCTTCGTCAGGGGGCTGTGCCAGGTGTTTGACTGCCCACTCCTGGGACCACCTTCCACCGTCAGGTCTGGGCCATTCCCTCCCCCTTGGCCATTGTCTCCGCCGGCCCCATTGGCCAGACCACCCATGCCCCTTCTGCTCAACATGCCCATCGTCCGACGCCTAAAGCCTATGCTGAGATGTTGCACATTGTTCCCTGACCGCTTACAGATGCAGTGGGCCATGGAGAGCATTTTCCTCCTGCTTGAACATGGTGTAACCTGCCTCTTTGGAAACTGACTTGCGCCACCCCAGTTATGTGGTGGCCAGCTGCTCCGGCGTGTGCGTAACTCAGGACTGTTCTCTTATAGTGCCATCCTAAGCAAAGTTACACCCTTTTAAGCTTAGGATAATACTGTTAGAAAGGAATCCTGCTCAGGTCTGTTCTGTGGGGCTTCCTCCTATGAAAGTCGATTTAGGATTGCAGTCTTAATTGACAGCTGTTAGTGCTCACTTGGTAGGAGTTAAGTCTCTCTGAACACACCACAACATACAGAGCCAGTTTGGTGTAGTGGTTAAGTGCGCGGACTCTAATCTGGGAGAACCGGGTTTGATTCCCCACTCCTCCACTTGCACCTGCTGATGTGACCTTGGGTCAGTCACAAGCTCTGGCACAGCTGTCCTTGAAAAAGAGCAGTTTGTGTCAGAGCTCTCTCAGCCCCACCCACCTCACAGGGTGTCTGCCGTGGGGAGGGGAAGGGAAAGGAGTCTGTAAGCCGCTTTGAGACTCCCTTGGGTAGTGAAGGGCGGGGTATAAATCCAATCTCCTCCTCCTCCTCCTCATTTTCCTCCTCCTCCTCCTCCTCCTCCTCCTCCTCCTCCTCCTCCTTTTGGCTCAATACACAGAGCAATGAGGGGTACAAACACTTTAAAAAACAAACTTTTATTTATAGAGTCCCACCCATAAATTAGCTGTTAAAAGTTGTTGACGATTGTAATAGCCAGCAACTTCAAATTTAAATTATTATGTTTGATCTAATGTGCTAGCATAAATTGTGATGTCTGACTGAGTCTTCTAGGCAATGTAGCAATAACTTAAATAAATAAACAAGCACAAAAAATGTGACAAGGGGGAGAAACGGAGTTTTTGGAAGCGCATGACTTCGTTTTTTTGAATCTTAGCTATTGCTGCATCTTAGAAGCTAGGATGAAACACAGCACTTTTGTTTTTCTTAAGCGTGTTATCCTTTTGTGGACCTCCATTCTTGTGATTCTTGCAATAGGCACATGGTCCAGCTGAGAAGTTTTTCTTCTTTGACATTCTCGGCAGCCCTCATTTAGACGGCAGATGAGCTTGGAACGCATGATCATCAGACAGAAGCCTCTAGCGAGGCGTATGGTGGTGAATTCTTGAGCTGATAATTATTTTGCCTTTCCCTTCTGCTAAATGTCACATGGATATCTAGGGGAAACAAACTCTGGGCAAAGCAATCCTTGTTTTATTGTTCTTCCTTCTTAGAAGCAGCTTTCTTTTTTTCAGATAAGGTTATTTATTCGTGCTCACATGGCTTCTGCAAAGAATGTGTTGCCGATCTGAGCAAACTTATAAAACGGGTCTACCTATGTTGACATATAAGCAATGTATCTTTAGATCTTTCATTGAATAGTCATTTGCATGTTCAGATAATCAAGTTGGTTGTGTGTTCTGATAAATGTTCATCTCTGCAACCTGAAATCTCCAGCTAACTGAGTTGATTCAGTAAAAAGTACATATTTGGTGGTTCAGAGGAGTCCAGTGTGTCAAGCAGAAAGCTTGTGTCCATTCTTAAATTTTCTACGGCCTCACATACATACAAGTAAAAACACAGACCAATTTCACACAAGAGCTGCGCCGCGGTCGCGCCTCCCTTTGCCCCGCTTCTATTGGTCAATTTCCCACTCAAAGCCGTGTGGCCGCATTTTGACCCACGGCTTCGCCCGATTTTCCCCACGGTTTCATGATCCTGTTTTTTGAGGATTACGAAACTGCGGAGGAAATCGGGCGAAGCCGTGGGGTCAAATGCAGCCCCGCGGCTTTGGGTGTGAAACTGACCAATAGTATCGGGGCAAACGGCGGCGTAACATCGAGGCAGCTCTAGTGCGAAATCAGCCTTTCTTTTGCAGGTTGTTGACAACCTTGCTCCTCACAGGAAATCCAAAAGCAGCTAACAAAAAAAACAGGAAAAACACAATTTAAACAAATTAAGAAGGGAAAACAAACATCCCCCCTAAGGTTGCCAGGTCTGGGTTGGGAAATACCTGGAGACTTTGGGGGTGGAGCCGGGAGAAGGCGGGGTTTGGGGGAGGGGAGGGGCCTCAGCATGGTACAGTGCCATGGAGTCCACCCTTCAAAGCAGCCATTTTCTCCAGGGGAGCTGATCTCTGTCAGCTGGAGATCAGTTGTGAAAGTGGGAGATCCCCAAGCCCCACCTGGAGGCTGGCAGCCCTACCCCCCCAAAAAAAATCCTCCTTGGTTGATCCTACATCTGTTGGACAGTTTATACCCAGAGGGTGCTACCCAAGGGCCCAGAGGGTGTGTAATGTAAATGTAAGAACCTGCCCTGTCCAGAAGGCTCATCTGTGTTACCGATGGCTCTCCACTGCTTCTCCCGACATTATGAACTGTGACCTGATAGGGACGATGGCAGTGGTCTAAAGGTGATTTTAATCTTCGCATATAAAATACTCTTAGAGATAGGGTCCTGCATAAATGAGTAGAAGATGAGGAAGGGGGCATTTATCTTTTTTCCCCTCTTCTTATTTCCTACCCTTTTAGCATTCTCTTTGCCGACATTGAGGGTTTTACCAGCCTGGCCTCCCAGTGCACAGCTCAGGAGCTGGTGATGACGCTGAATGAGCTCTTTGCCAGATTTGATAAACTCGCAGCCGTAAGTGGGCCTTCTTTGTGCTATCATTGGCATTCTTGCTCTTTTATTCCCCACTCCTCCACTTGCACCTGGCTGGATGACCTTGGGCCAGCAGTAGTTCTGATAAGAGCTGTTCTTGAAAAGAGCAGTTTCTTTCAGAGCTCTCTCAGCCCCACCTACCTCCCAGGGTGTCTGTTGTGGGGAGGGGGTGGGAAAGGAGTTTGTAAGCCGCTCTGAGACTCCTTTGGGTAGTGAAGGGTGGGGTATAAATTCAATCTCTTCTTCTCTTCTCTTTTACAATGGCAGCACACCATCGTGTTGCAGTCTTGGATTTCTGCAAAATGTTAACTGCCCTGTTAACGTCCCTGAAATAAAAATGCATATTTTCTCCCTGTCTTGTAGGAGAATCACTGTTTACGTATCAAAATCCTAGGTGACTGCTATTACTGCGTGTCTGGGTTACCCGAAGCAAGAGCGGACCATGCACACTGCTGTGTTGAAATGGGAATGGATATGATAGAGGCCATCTCGTAAGTACCACATTCCCCAGCAAGGGGGAATGAAGGAAAACAATTATGCGTGTGTGTTTGCAGGTAGTACTGCGTGTTGTAAATCATCAAGTTAGCAGTGACCAAATATTCAGGTGTAACGGGAGAGGGAAAGCTTTGAATGCTTGTGAAATAACAAAGGATGCATTAAGAAGGTTCCATTTGTAGGAGTGGCTGTATACTGAGTAAATGTGCCACCCCTACACTTAAGCATACAGCAAGGTACTTGTATTACTGTGGTCTTCTACCTGTCCCTTTTAAAGGATCAGAAGACAGCTGAGCTCTGGTGGTGAAGTCTTCCGCTTTCAGCACAGGGAATGGCTGGAGAATGTTGACTTGTGTTTTTTTAAGGAGTCACTGGGTACACTCCCCTTTTGGTGGTCAGACAGAGAACTGGGGAAGTTTTGTATAGACAGGCCCTTTGTATAATGCACTTTTCCACAGGCTGTGTAGTCCGGCATACATGAGAAAAGCCCATGTTTACTGCCCGCATGATGAAGCAACATTTGAGCAAGAGAAAGGTAATGAACAGCCCATGCTTGTAAGGCTTGTCCCCAGGCTCGTAGCTACACTGGGGCATTTGGGGGCCCAGCCCACCAAGTTTCTGCCAGGGGCCCCCCCATTCACCACCCCGGCCAGGCCCACCGACTTATTTCTCACGCTCACCCCCATCAGTGGCAGGGGCAAGCCTTGCACTGCCTTGCACCCTTTCTCCTCCCCGGCCTCTCTCTGTATGTCTCCTCGGCATATTTCCTTCATTTTTTTTGAATATATTTATTGGGTTTTATAAGCCTATATTGAACAATTATACAAATTCCTTGAAAAATTACATGCATACAAAATCCCCTAAGAGCATTTATCCTTTCTCACAACACAGAATATCTCAACCAAAACACCTACAATATATATTTTTGTTTTTTATCCTCCTCCTCCATATCAATTCTATGTTAAACGAAAAATCTTGATTTCATATACCCTTTAAGGCATTATTTACGGTCATTCAAAACTTTTTTAACATTTCATATCATGGTGTAAATCCTTGACAAGCTCCTATTCTTCTCCTTATGCAGTTCTAACTCCTATCCCATCAGCTGGTTTTCACCTTACAATCAATATAGGTACACAATTTAACATTACATTTTTATTACATTTTCCCCCCTTTTATCACCCTTTTTCTTATTCATTCAGTCCTTATCACTTACATTAATTTTAATTATTAATACTATTATAATTCATCCTCCAGCTAAGAGCTGCTAAATTCTCTTCCCTGTCTCTGAAGTCGGAAGTTAACCTATACTCCATATACACACTCTAAGCCATTGTCTGCTTTAATTTAGAACCTACTTATATTAATACCCTCTTTCTATCCAATATCAAAATATCAAATTATTACCCCAGTGCCACCGTGCATTTCAACTTAATCAAATTGTTCTATATCCCTAACATTTTCATCACCTTATCTCTTTACCATATATTTCCAAATCCTACTAAATTCCTGGCATATCAATATAAGCACTTAGATAAATATGTTATTAAGTCAATTAAATTTTCCAAAACATCTAATAACATATAATCCAGATTTACCAACCTCCTGTTAATACTTCTCCTATTACATTGATCATTTCCCTTCTTTGCTTATCATTTCATTATTTTTTAAAAATAACTTTAATACCTTTTAACTTTTTATACATAAATATTTCACTGTTCTCTTAATTCATTCATAACTTTTATAATTCATTTTATACAATCTTAACTAGTAATCCTATTACATAATCAAATTACACCCAAAATTAATTTTCTATCCCAATATTCATAATAATTTATACATAATTCACCCAACCTATTATTTCCCTCACCTTCCCTTAACCCCTTTGCCTCTAACAAAATCCATAAATAAGCAGGTTTCGGGTCTCTTTCCATCTTACACCAAAGTAGACTGATCTTTACTATTTTCTTTTATATAACTTGCTCTTCCTTTTAAGCATCCGCAGTCTGTTTTTCTTCCATAGCATGTCAATATGTCTGCGGTCTTTAGCAGTCCTTGGGTTTCCCTGCCTCTCTTCTGTATTTTCCATCCATTCTGTTTTCCTGATTTTATTGTCTCTCTTAAATTTCCACGCTCTTCTCTTCCTTCTTCTAATCCTTTTCTCTCTCTTTCCTTCCGTCTCCAAGCACTGCCTCTTTTCTTTTAACAGTTCCAATGGCAATATTGTCACTTCTACATAAACAGCCTTTTGTGCATTCTCCAAGTTTTCTTCCTTAACACCCTCTCCATTTTCATCTTGCCCATCCTCTGAAACCTCTTCCAGTACAACTTGTTCCTGCTGTTCCTAGTCCTCTGTCTCAATTTGTAAATTATACTTCTTCCTAATCTCAGCGCACGCCTCCTCACATCCCCTCTGCACACCCTCTTGCACTGCCTCTCTCACAGCTCTCAAAAACTGTTCAATTGTCATCTTTTCCATTTCCACATTCTCGTCACACATCTTTTCCTTCTTATCAACCCACGCTTCCATGTTCAAAGCCATAGTCACAAGTCTCTTCACCTTTAATCTCCTTCACCTCCTTACTGGAACCAACACAGTTTGAAAACACTTGCTTCTTCCCTTCCTTAAACAGCGCTGTTTTCCTTTGTCCCCCATTTTTCTCGGCCACTCTTCTTCTCATGTTGGAACGCATTTTTCGAGTTTTCCATCTTTCTCACCTCGTTCTGTTGACCCCTGAGCTTTAAACTTCTGTGTTGCCTGTCGAACTCCACAACTCCAGGTAATTAAAAACGGCTGGCGGCGTCTAAGAGAACCATGGCGGCCATGTTCTTCTCCCACTCTCTCACCAGGCTTCGGGACAGTCCTGGTCACCCCCCGCTTGCCGACCGCGGGAGGGGCCAGGAAAAAAGCCCAAACAAAGATGAAAGTGGGACGGGCGGCTCGTAGCTCACCGAGCGTCCACCCGTCGATGCGCCGTTAGCCGTCCTCGGCATACTTCCTTCAAATGGGAGATGTGGGGGGCCGAGCGCACGTCTGCACTCCCAAGCTGCGAAGCATTTAAAGGGAGCCTTTAAATGCTTTGGGGGAGAAGTGGGGGCTGTGTGCATGGGGGCTGTGTGTGAATTTCAGTGCCCCCCTTTAAAGGACCCCCAAATTTTAAAAAATCCTGGCTACAAGCCTGCTTATTCCCCTGTACATCTTAACAGGATTGCAGCCACAACTAGAGTCCCCCTGGCTGTCAAGATGTACCTGGGCTCTCCGTGTCCTTCTTCGTATACCTTGGAAAACCTGATCCCATGGAAGCACTGCTCTGATTACGGTTGCTAATTGCCCTAGAGAAAAATGTCCTGGCTCTTTATTAGAGGCTGATCAGGATATTATTTATCATGTGAAAAAGAAGAAGAAGAGATTGGATTTATACCCCGCCCTTCGCTACCCAAAGGTGTCTCAGAGCGGCTTACGAACTCCTTTTCCCTTCCCCTCCCCACAACAGACATTCTGTGAGGTAGGTGGGCCTGAGAGAACTCTTGACAGAAATGGCTCTTTTTGAAGGACAGCTCTTATCAGAGCTACGGCTTGGCCAAGGTCATCCAGCAGTTGCAAGTGGAGGAGTGGGGACTCAAACCCGGCTCTCCCAGATTAGAGTCCGCGCACTTAACCACTACCTCCATACTGCGAAAGGCTTCAGGTGCCCATTTCCACACATTGGGCCTCTGCTAAAGAGGCAGGGCATTTTCCTCCAGCCCTAGTTCTAAGCAATTTACTTAGGTGACAGCTGGTCACCAAAGCAAACAATAAACTTTGGTTTGTTATGGCTTGAACAGAGTCCTTACGTGTTCATTTGGTTTTTTGGTATTAAAAGATCAGGAGTGGCAGATAAATTCATTCTTAGTTAAGGGCCTCATTGCCCACTAGTGGTACTCTGCAAGGCTTAATCAGGTTCTTGTGTATGGTGGGTCTTGGGAACTGTGTAAGACACCCAGTGTGGATATGGAACAACACTATAATCCATATTATGTTGTTACGAATTTGTTTTGAGTAAGAAATATCTCCATGTGCTTTAAAAGCTTGTGGTTTTTAAACAATGGAAGTCGGTCAAAATATTGGGCAAAACCCTGAGAAAGTCAGGATACATTACAATTGAATGTAATTGCCATCATGTGGACATAGACGTAGGAGCTCGTGGGGTAGCCTTGAAGTGGCTGACCTCATTCCTCCAAGGTCGGGGACAGAAGGTGGTGCTAGGAGAGAGGGTGTCATCCAGGTACTCTTCAGTTTGTGGGCTTCCAAAGAGGACAGTCCTCTCCCCGGTGTTGTTTAACATCTATATATGCCCCCTCGCCCAAGTAGTGCAGAGTTTCAGGCTGGGATGTCACCAATATGCTGATGACGCCCAGCTTTATCTGTTGATGGGTGGGTGGCTGGATACCGCCCCTGCACACTTGGCTGAGGGGTTGGAGGCTGCGGTGGTGGGATGGTTGAAGCAGAGCCGGCTGAGACTGTGGGCGATTTCGCACTAGAGCTGCCTCGTGGTTGCCCCGACACTATTTGTCAATTTCACACCCGAGGCTGTGGGGTTGCATTTGACCTGCAGCTTCGCCCGATTTCCTCTGCAGTTTCGTGATCCTCAAAAACCAGGATCACGAAACTGCGGGGGAAATCAGGCGAAGCCGCGAGTCAAAATGCAGCCCCACAGCTTCGGGTGTGAAATTGACATATTTGTGTCGAGGCAAACGGCGGCACAAACGCGAGGCAGCTCTAGTGCGAAATCGCCCTGAATCCTTCTAAAACGGAGGTTCGGTGACTGGGCCATGGAGACTCGGGGTTGGGGTGCCAATTCCCAAGTCTTGACAGCCTGCCTTTGAGACCGGCACCAACTGTCAGGAGTTTGGATGTGATCCTGGATTCCTCCTTATCAATGGAGGCCCAGGTCACAACTGTTGCCAGACTGGCGTTCTTGCGATTGCACCACCTACCTGTCTTGCCCTGACCTAGCTACAGTAATCCATGCAATGGTAATATCCAGATTAGACTACTGTAAATTGCTCTACATGGGCCTACCTTTAAGGCTGACCCAGAAACTGGTACAGAATGCAGTGGCACGGGTTCTTACAGGGACCCCGCGCACAGCACATATCCATCCTGTGCTGCGCGAGCTTCACTGGCTTCTGGTGGATTACCAGATCAGATTCAAGGTTCTGGTGTTGTCTTGGACCCACGTGTTTTTGGGACCAACTCTCCTGATATACCCCCAGAAGAGCGTTGCACTCAGTAGATTAAAATCTACTGGTGGTCCCTGGCCTGAGGGATGTCCGGCTGTCCTCGACCAGAGTCAGGGCTTTTTCTGTCCTGGCTCCAACCTGGTGGAACTCTCTGCTGAATGACATCCATGCCCTGCGAGAGACAATGCAGTTCCCTCAGGGCCTGATTTGTCACACGAAACAACTGAAAATGTAGCCTCTTTTTTAAGTTCGGTAATCAAGGACCGTCTGCACAATGTATAGATGCATATGATTGATTCATTTCTCCTTGTTACCTATTTCTCCACTTTTGTTTCTTCCAGGAACCTAACATATGCCAATAAAGGTCTGTGTGTGTATGTGTATGTGACTGGGTGTGGTGCACAAGGTTGCTAAAAAACCTTCCTAAAACAAGGCAATATGCAGAAAACGAAAAAACTCAAGGCTCCAAGGTTATGTGGAAATTCAGTGTAACAGGATAGTGGCTTTACAAAGCTATTTAAACGTATGGGGAACAAGTTGGAACCTGGCCGGATCCCTTAGGTCAGAGGCCGAGGGGCTGAGCAGCAGCCCCCTTTAAAGACAGCGGATGAATACAAAGCTCTAGCAGACCACATCTGCCTTTCACTATCGTAGATCAGGAGAGTTCCTACTCATTTAAAATTTTTTCTCTTCTCCAGCCACATAAGTTAATCCCTTTTATCATTTGGGGTAGGCTTGCAAATGAAAATATCTCGAACTAGGATGGGGAACGGGCTTGGAGAGAAAAAATGTCCTGCCCCTTCAATAGAGGTTTAAATGGGATGTTATTTACCAGATAACATCAAAGACCCATTCCCACGCAGGATATTTTTTCTTCAGGTTCTTCAGAATGACTGTCCCTTTTTGTTACCGTGACCTTGACTGTTATCACTTCAATGGTGTGACCCTGCTGTATCTTACTCTTCCCAAATGGTGTCATATTATTCCAAGCAATTAGATACAACTAGGGTTACCAAGTACCTACCGATGCATCGGCGGGGGACACATGCTTCCCCGCCGGAACATTCTTGTGTGTAACACGGCCGTGTTGCACTATCCTGTCGCCCAGACGTGACGTAAGCGGGATCCCTGTATATAAAGGTGTTTGTTCCCTTATTGCCTCTTGCTATTTTATAATATCACATATTCCCCAATATTGATAAGAATAGAGCAATTTGGCTAACACATGAGTCTTTCCTGGTACCATCGAGTTTTCAGCCCCATTGCCAGAGCGTCGCCCGGCTACATGCCCACGGCATGTCTGGGTGACAGGATAGTGCAGTGCCTGTGTTCTCCCTGCGGGAATGTTCCTGCCAAGAACTACGTATACGTCCCCCGCCGATTTGCGGTAAGTACTTGGTAGCCCTAGATACAACACTTAGAAAAGGCTGTTGTGTCTGTGAGGAAAGTAGACTGGCTTTTGTGAGAAGGCTCCTTTTTGTTTTAAGGTGGCCGTTACCTGCCATAGGGCCTTAAAAACAGACTGAAAATAAGGTAACACAAGTGAGGTTTACTCCCATTGAGTGCCCAAGGAATTTAGACAAAAGGATAACAGGTTTTGATGCTGTCATCAACAACCCAGGTCCATTTGACTATATGCCTCAAAAACTACAAGTTTACACTCAAGATGGATGAAGACAGAAGTAACATTTCTGGAGCAGAGGTTCAATTTAGAAATTCAGCCCCAGCATACTAATCATTTTTCCTCCCCTTTGCAAGGTTAAACTTCCCATTAGAACTCTGCTAAATGCAGGGGTCATTTCTTGCGGGAGCGCACAGGAGCGGAGCTCTGGCAGTAAAGAGCCCAGGGGGCAGGCACATGCAACAAGCCCCACCTCCTGCTCCCAGCAGCCCTTAGTCAGAGCAAGAAGCAGCCAGGTAAGTTGCAGAGCCCCCCCCCGGGCCCCTGGCCTAAAACAGTCCAGTGGCACCTTTAAAACCAAGTTTTTTTCAGGTACAAGCTCTCCCTCCTCTGCGAGGACAGATCTGCACGTTCCCCCACCCCAATAGCTAGCAATCCAAAACAATCCAGTGGTGCCTGAGTGGTGGGTGTTGCCTTCTGACACACTTACGGTAATGTCAGGGGGTGTGGCATATGCTAATGAGCTCCTGTGCCTCTTTTTCTACAAAATGACCCCTGGCTAAATGGATAGGGTATTTTTTTTCTCCAGCCCTGTTGGTAACCCTACTTTTAAACATTGTTTAAAAATGGGACTACCTGCCTGAAGCTTAGGAGGAGGACTGAGAAGCTTGGGAGGGGGTAGCAAAACTCATGAATGAGTCAGCATTCAGTTTTTTGGTATGCAGCGTATGGTTAGTCAAATTGTGAAGTTGGGAGTCGCGCTGCGGCTTTTGACCCAACTGTGAGTCCATCCTCCCTCCCTCCCTCCCTTCTTTCCTAATATGTGGAATTGAACACCATATAGTTAATAGTGCCTCCTGTGATCACAGAGGCTGGGGCGGTTTGCATGTAATGGGAGTTCTGTAATGGGAGAAAGTATAATGTATAATTTTTAAATGAATACATATACAGAAAATCTCATATTTGGATTATAGGAACTGTTGAGATTTTAGCGATTCATTTTTATAGCATTTAGTGGGCACTAGCTAAAAATTTTAAATTTTAAATTAAAAGACGCCTGCTCCTTGGGAGGAAAGTGATGGCGAACCTAAACAGCATGATAAAAAGTAGAGACATCACCCTGCCAACAAAAGTCCGCATGGTCAAAGCAATGGTATTCCTAGTAGTCATGTATGGCTGCGAGAGTTGGACTATAAGGAAGGCCGAGCGCCGAAGAATAGATTCTTTTGAACTGTGGTGCTGGAGAAGACTCTTGAGAGTCCCTTGGACTGCAAGGAGATCAAATCAGTCAATCCTAAAAGAAATCAACCCTGACTGTTCCCTGGAAGGCCAGATAATGAAACTGAAGCTCAAATACTTTGACCACCCAATGAGAAGGGAGCACTCACTGGAGAAGACCCTGATGCTGGGAAAGATTGAAGACGGGGACGGCAAAGGATGAGATAGTTAGACAGTGTCATAGATGCAACGAACATGAAATTGAGCAAACTTCAGAGGACGGCGGAAGACCGGAAAGCCTGGCGGGATCTGGTCCATGGGGTCACGAAGAGTCGGACTCGACTGTGCGACTGAACAACAAAAAAGCTAAAATTTTAGTAATGCAGTGTGTTTGTTTAAGGAATGAGCATGCATTTTAAACTAAATTAGGGAAACTGGAGTAACTGTTCAAAGCCTGTGGACTGTTTACCTGATCTGAAATGTTATGGATAACTGATATTTAGCATTTATAACTATATATCACTGCCTGGAGAGAGAAATGTCCTGTTCCTTTAGCAGAGAGTAAGTAGGATGTTGCTTACCAGATGATGTTGCTTACCTCCATGCCGTGAAAAGCTTCAGCTGCCTATTTCTATACATGAAGCCTCTGCTAAACGGACAGGACATTTTCTCTCTCTCCAGGCTGTTGGCAGCATTATACAGGAAAGGGGCAGTACCAGGTAGTCAGGACAAATGATAGTACAGATATCAGTTGGTGACCAGGATGCAGTGATTTTTTACTCATTATTGGATCTGGCCTCTGCTCTCTGCTCTTTCCAGTGAACCCGAGCAGTCTTGTTCAAACACACGGATCATTTTCGTCTGTACCACAACCATCCCGGAAACTGCTTCGCTGTGTCTGTTCCCCACAACAGCCACAGTGTGTCCAGCGGCAGTAATCCAAAGCAAGCGTTTGGGGTCTTTCAAGGCCAAGAGTCGCCTCATGGCACCCTCCCTAATCCCTAGATATAATTTCCTTGCAAAATTGCTGCATTCCTCCAAGTCAACTTTTGCCCTAAAAGGCAAGATCCCACAAAGTGTTCCAATGATAATTTCGGGAGCAAACTCGGACATCTGAGAGCTCATTAGCATTGGAGCCTGCTGGGCGTAACTGGAGAGGACGGGTCTGATGTTTGACAGTAGCGGCTTGAGATTTCTTACTTCAGCCATTTTTTTTCTTTCTTTCACATGTGTATTATGTTTCATTTGTGGAACATTTGATGTTCGGTGCCATGCAGACGGATTGAGAGTTCTGAAATCATTTCCTTTTTCTCTTTGCAACGTGGTTATTATGCTTAATGAGGCACTGAGAGAGCGGGAAGGTTATGTCCAGGTTTGGTAGGGAAGCCAGAAACCAGCCCTCCCCCCTTTCCCCCCCCCCATGAGGTCTGAACTCTGAACTGACAGCAGCTCTGAAGGACACCTCCTTCCAACTATTTGTGCTGTTTGTAGAGACAACCTTGTCAAAGAACAGTACATTGTGTCTGCTTTATTTCACTGCAGTGTAACAATATTTGCAGGGCTGTATTTTATATGTTCACATCATCATTATTATTATTATTATTTTAGGAATTACATATTCTGCATTCAGATTTGTGTCTTCCCTCTTTTCCTTGCATACTTTCTCAGATTAGTGCGGGAAGTGACGGGCGTCAACGTGAATATGCGTGTTGGGATCCACAGCGGGAGAGTTCATTGTGGAGTCTTGGGCCTCAGGAAGTGGCAGTTTGACGTGTGGTCAAATGATGTTACGTTAGCCAATCACATGGAAGCAGGAGGCAAAGCGGGGTAAGAGGGTCCTACTCTCAGTGTCAGCATATCACAGTCCACCTGTTCATTCTGTTTTGCTCTGGAAATGTTGTATTGTTTCATGTTAGTAACCCCACCAATCATATATATGCATACAAGAAGCACGAAGGATGAGAACAGTATGAGAACAGTGTCCTACTAGGATCTTGGAGCTGTGGTGGCTCAAGTGGTTAAGACGCTGAACTGCAGGCTGTGGAAGGTCAGTAGTTCAGCAGTTCGAGACCCGGGTGCCGCATGACGGAGTGAGCTCCCGTCTCTGGTTCCAGCTCCTGCCAACCTAGCAGTTCGAAAGCAAGATATTGCAAGTAGATAAATAGGTACCACTTTGGTGGGAAGGTAACAGCGTTCCGTGCGCCTTGGTGTTTAGTCATGCCGGCCACATGACCACGGAAACATCTTTGGACAGCGCTGGCTCTTCGGCTTGGAAACGGAGATGAGCACCACAACCCTAGAGTCGGATTCGACTGGCTTTCGAGCAAGGGAACCTTTACCTTTTTACTAGGATCTTGGGGCTGCGGTGGCTCAAGTGGTTAAGACGCTGAACTGCAGACCGGAAGGTCGGTAGTTCAGCAGTTCGAGACCCGAGTGCTGCATGATAGAGTGAGATCCCATCTCTGGTTCCAGCTCCTGCCAACCTAGCAGTTTGAAAGCAAGAAATTGCAAGTAGATAAATAGGGACCGCTTCAGTGGGAATGTAACAGCGTTCCGTATGCCTCGGCATCTTCGGACAGCGCTGGCTCTTTGGCTTGGAAACGGAGATTTACTTTTACCTTACTAGGATCTTAGGAAGTCAGGTTCGAATTTCTAAAAGGCTAAAAGGTGGGGGGGCACTGGAGCTCATTGCTGGCATTTTGAAAACAGTGCTAAGCTCCTCCCCCTCCATGGATTGGCTGCCAGCAGAGCTTTTACAGGGAGACTGTGCTCGCAGCTACCAGGCTATATAACCTGAAAGGAAGAGCAGAGGAAGTCAGAGCTCTGGCTTAAAGGGGAAACTCCCAGTGGTCATGAGCCCCATGGAAGTCCCGTGAGTCACACTTGAAACAAGCATGATGTGTGGTAGCTCTCCAATAAAGTGGGAGCATGGTGTGTTCTACCCGGAGAAAAATCTCTGTCTGGAAATATTTTATTATTATTATTATTATAAATACAATACAGTTAAAACCACGTTGAAAACATGTAAAACACACAACTCTTATAAAAGGCCAGATGCCACAGTGGTTGATAGTACTGGGAGTAAGTTTCCCAGGGATCTGTACAATTTGGGATCTCAGGCTATAAAATAGGAGCCGACCCAAGCTGTAAATGGGGCCGACCCGGGGGGGGGGCGCCCGCTGCCTCAACTGAAACCCCGGTGGAAGAGCTCCGTCTTGCAGGCCCTGCGGAATTGTAATAAATCCCACAGGGCCCTGATCTCACTCGGGAGCTCATTCCAACAGGCAGGGGCCAGGGCTGAAAAGGCCCTGGCCCTGGTCGAGGCGCAAGTCGGACATCCCTGGGGCCGGGGACCACCAAAAGATGCTGATTGGTGGACCTCAGTGCTCTATGGGGCTCATCTGGGGAGAGGCGGTCTCAAAGGTATGCTGGCCCCTGGCCATAGAGGGCTTTAACACCTTGAAACGGATCCGGAATTCAATAGGCAGCCAGTGCAGGTTGTGCAGCACTGGGCGGATGTGCACCTGCACAGGCGTCACCGTCAACACCCACGCTGCTACATTCTGTACTAGCTGCGACTTCCGGAGCAGGGTCAAGGGTAGCCCCATGTAGAGAGAGTTACAATAATCCACTCTGGGAGTGACCATTGCATGGATAGCCCTAATAATATTAACAGTGAAGCAGGTTTAAGGCATTGCAAAAATAGTTGGGAGGATCAATAAATTGCTGACACTTTTAGATAAGTTGTAGATGATCCCAGTCTGTAATATTTCCCTTGTTCAATCTGTTTGTTCATTATTTGCTGTTTTTTAAGTTACCAATAATTTTCATGGTTTTGGTTGTCTTGTTTTCATTCAAGGCGGATCCACATAACAAAAGCTACATTGAACTATCTGAATGGTGACTATGAAGTGGAGCTTGGTTTTGGAGGGGAACGCAATGCTTATCTCAAGGAACATAGCATAGAGACCTTCCTCATTGTACAATGTAGCCAAAAAAGGGTAAGAGACATCCACCATGATAAATGTATATAAGCAATTGGAACAATGTCTATGAGTAACTGGGACCAAGTGCTTCCAGCAGAAAGCAGCAGTATGCAAAATTAACTAAAAAATGCCCAGACGCGTCCAGTAGTTTTTAGGCAGTCTTTTGCTCCGTTATATATTTTGTTGTAGAAAATAATGAGTACTAATACCCGTACAGTTCAGTATTTCTGTTTGTAAAACAGAGTTTTATAAGCTGTACCCAGAATTAAGTTTTGTTGGTCTTAAAGGTGCTACTGGAATTAAACTTTCTTCTGTTGCTTCAGAGCGACACGGCCCTGAATCCGTTCATAAAATTAGTGTTGCAGCAGTCTGTCTGCACCCATATAAAAGCCTACCTTGTCCCATGCTCATGAAAGTACCAAGAGGTGGATGAGCCAGTATGAGAAAGCCTTCCACCCCTCGCAACTTGTTTTCTAGAGAAATAAAGATGGGCAGAGTCCCAGTGCCTGCCTTTTGCTTCCATTCCTTCTTTGTGTTTTTTTCTTTCTTCATAAATTACTTTCTTGTGCATGATTTGTTTAATGAGGTATCCACTTGAACCTGTTTCAACAGTTTCCATAAAATCGCCATGTAATGGGTTCCTGCAGGGTTCATTTCGTTGAAAAAGAGCTGCAGGAGCTCATTAGCATACCTAATAAGCTATTAGCATAATAGCTCATTAGCATATGCCACGCCCCCTGACATCACCAGAAGTGATGTCAGAAGGGAAAGCAAAAGGGAGGAGGCATCTTCAAAAGCCTCCCCTCCCCTTCCCCAGCACTTTAAACCCCTTCTCTCTTCGCCCCCCCCCCCACTTTGGCAGGCCAGCTGGGGAAGGGGAGGCTTTTGAAGATCCCCCCCCCTTTTTGCTTCCCCAGCTGGCCTGCCAAGGGGAAGCGCAGAGAGAAGGGGTTTAAAGTTTAAACCCCTTCTCTCTCCATTCTATTCTAGGGGGCCATAGAATAGAATGGTGACTCCAGAGAGAAGAGGTTTAAAGTTTAAACCCCTTCTCTCTTCGCTTCCCCCCCCCAGCCCACCTTGGCAGGCTGGCTAGGAAAGGGGAGGCTTTTGAAGGTCCCCCCCCCTTTTGCTTTTCCAGCCGGCCTGCCAAGGCAGGCTGGGGGGGGGAACGAAGAGAGAAGGGATTTAAAGTTTAAATCCCTTCTCTCTGGAGTGGCGCTGCAGAAGTGGTGCAATCTCTCCATTCTATTCCATGGGGCCATAGAATACAATGGAGAGATAGTGCCGTTGCTGTGGCGCGACTCTAGACTGAAGGAGCTTGGGCGCAGGGAGTTGGGAGCAGGGCTTGCCACCACTGGGGCTGCCGGAGCAGTGCTCCAGCGCGCTCCGGCCCCAAATGACCCCTGGGTTCCTGTGAGTTGTATCTAAGTTCCTGTTATTTATACAAAAGCATATAGTCATAGTAGAGGGTATTCCTTGCATGGAGACTAAGGCTGGCCATGTAATCTTTATGGGCCAATAACATGACTTTCAGTTATTATTATTTTTTAGATTTTTTAATTGCCCTATCCCAGCTTATGCCGGGCTCTGGGTGATGTGCAGGACAAAGTGTCACAAAATACTAATGTAGAATAACATATTCTCTATGTAGGGTATTTTAGAATTTTGTCCTGCTGGCTTTGGGGTTAGGGAGCCTGAGAGTTTCCTTGTGTGATAGCAGTTATAGTGTAGTGGAACAGAGATGCTGATGATGGCCTTTAAGTCAGAAATGTCTCACAGCAACTCCTAGGAGGGTGAGTTAATTGTTTTCCAAACGGTGTTCCAGAAATCCATCCAGCTGAACAAACAAAATGACTTGCATGTGATCCTTTTATAAAGCATTATCATCTATTTTGGTTTTCATGAGTTTCAGTCCAGTGAGTCCAGTTCATATGGACTTACAGCTGTGATATTGCTATTTAAAAAAAATGAGTCTGGAATGAACCACATAGTGAAACTGGAAAGGTGAAGTCCGCATTAGATTTGCCACAGCTATAGCAGGTCACTCAGAAATCACAAGTACTGAGCAACCTGTCTCCAAGTTAGCACAGCAAAGCTGAGGACTTTGATTGAAAGGAAACCCAAAGGTACCCAGAGGAAGAAAAACCAGAGACAGATAAATGCTAATTGGATCTCTACCTACGGCACTGTCTGCTTTCCCCTACTCTGCATGCAATCTATTCCTATGCAGTACTTGCCATATGTATTTTCTTTGCTTTGTGTTGTTGAACCATATAGGTGGTCAGTAAGTAATTCAGATACTTATGTGCTAGCAGGTATAGCTAAATTACTTTGGCCCTGGTCCACAGTAACACATTCATATGAAAAACAAAAGGACCAGTATCAATGGACAAAATATTTCTGAGACTATACCATAGGTTTCCCGTCCAAAAACTGTTTCACCACTTTAGAAGTTGGCCTTTAAATCATTTAGATGTTGCAGAAGAAACAGACTACCTGAACACAGTGACCTGCATAATTCTTTTGGCATTAAAGTAGACAAGTGCAGATTTTTCTCTAAGAGGTGCTTTAATTAGTCCTTTTTAAATGCTTAAAAATAACTATTGTGCAGTCTACTTATTATCAGTAGCTATGAGTCCAAGGAAAGCCTGGTTGTCACTTCTAAACATATAATAATCGGAATCCGGGTCCTTGACGTGGAAGGTGATTAACACCAGTGGAGTTTACTGTTAATTTAAAGTGGCGTAAAATACTGCCGTTTCTAATGGCTTAATTTTTATATTGGATACAATGTGCTGGTAGAGAGGAGCACACTGCATTTTTTCCAAGAGGATGATGACCTCGTTTGTCAGCAACTGAAGCTGAAAGAGTTTCTGCCAACAAGTTTTACAACTGACGGCAAAGTTGGCTTGTTTGCAGAAAGTGCTTTATTTAGCATAAGCAGTTTGGCCCACAGAAGTGAACGAAGCCCTTTTCCCATGACATTTTTTATCTAGTACAAGCTGTAGCAGACCCAGATCAGTTCATTATGACCTCAGTTGTGCAGAACTGCAAGAGCCCTCTTTATTTGCATTGTTTACGTGCCACATCATTACATGCACAAAATCAACCAATAAAAGCAATCACAGCCAGCTAGTTAAAACTAACTGCAATATAGCAGTAAAAATAAAAGTTAAACATTTATTTTTAAATTCAATTTAGTAACAGATAAAAAAGCAGGATATAAATATAAAATTAATTTAAGAAAAAGAAGAGATTGGATTTATACCCCCCCCCTTCACTCAGAGTCTCAGAGCGGCTTACAATCTCCTTCCCTTCCTCTCCAGACAACAGACACCCCGTGAGGTAGGTGGGGCTGAGAGAGCTCTGAGAGAACTACTCTTGAGAGAACAGCTCTGAGAGAACTTGTGACTGACCAAAGGTCACCCAGCAGCTGCATGTGGAGGAGTGGGGAATTAAACCCAGTTCTCCAGTTTAAAGTCCGCCACTCTTAACCACTACACCAAACTGCCTCTTATGTAACAGAGGCAGTAGACATCTAGTGTATTGAAATGAACCCCCATGAAGCTGCCTTATACTTGCCTTATACCGATGATATATCCAGGTTAGTACTGTCTAGGCTGGCTGGCAGCAGCTATCCAAGATCTCATGCAGAGGTTTTTAACATTGCCAAATACCTGAACCTTTTAACTGGAGGTGCTGGGTTTGAACCTAGAATCTTCTCATGCAAAGCAAGTGCTCTTCTATGGTTCCATGGGTCCTCTCATAACAATGGAGGCTAGTTCCACAGGTGACATGCCCAGGGGTCATTTCTTAGAAAAAGATGTTCAGGCACTCATTAGCATAACTTAGCATCACCGGAAGTGTGTCAGAAGGCAACACCCACCGCTCAGGATCCACTGGACTGTTTTGGATGGCTAGCTATTGGGGGGGGGGGGACGTGCAGATCTGTCCTCACAGAGGCGGGAGAGCTTGTACCTGAATAAAACTTGGTCTTAAAGGTGCTGCTGGACTGTTTTGGACCGGGGGGGGGGCAGGAGGAGCTCTGCAACTTACCTGGCTGCTTCTTGCTCTGACTTAGGGCTGCTGGGAGCAAAGGGTGGGGCTTGTTGCATGTGCCCCCCCCCTGGGCTCTTTACTGCCGGAGCTCCGCTCCTGTGCGCTCCTGCAGGAAATGGATGTGCCTCTACAAAAACCACCTCTCCCCATATCACCTGTTTCACCATTTAAGATATTCATGTATATGAAGTCAGCTTGTCATCTTCTAAGAGGTATTTCCTCTGATAGCCCAGAGCGATCTCCAAATCAAGGTTCTCCTTGTCTGTAGAAAGGAATGTGAGACCTATTTCAGTAGGCTTTTGGAGCTTGCAGCACAAATAGGATAGGCAGTCTCTCCAAAATAATGAAAAACATCTAAACAACTTTCTCCCTCCCCCAGAAAATAAACCCAAATTAACTTGATAATAAACATAAGACCTCTTTAATGATAGTAGCACTTGGGTGATAAATCAGTTTAATTGTTCAGTTTGCCTTTGTACAAGTACCATTTATTTCTGGGTACTAAATATGGTCCAGCTGAACTATTTTCTCTCCATTTTCTTGATTATTTCCCTGGAATTCTAAAAGGGTTTATTATTATTTTTAGTTTGCTTAGAAATAGAGAGATGAGAATGTTTTTATTTTAAATTAATGTGTGATGCCCCTTGAACATTTTGAATCAAGATTTTATTTATTATTTATTTGTTGAAGAGATTTCTAGGCCACCTCATCGGAGTTGTGCTCAAAGCATCTTACAGCTAAAATAATAAGTTAACACTATAAAAATAATGAGCTGCTAAAACAAACCATTATAAAGTAGTCCGGGAATATAAATAGCATAAAATCCATAAAACAAACCTCAGACTAGAATGTGTGTGGGTAAAAAGATATGTATTGGCCTGGGCACCTGAAATACAGGAAGGTAGGCACTAGGCAAACCTCACGGGGCGGGCCTTCCTAGGTGAGGGGCCACTACA